ATGACATACGTAGTAATTCGTTAAAGAAAATAAATGTGTTGTGTGCAGAATTGGGCACTTGAGTGTTTGTACCTTCCCAAATAAAGAGTATCTCCTAAGAGAATAACTCCCATGGCAACTGCAATCGCGATGGACAATGGTTTAAACATTGCTACATACACTGGTCCTTTTACGCGCAAAGCCCAGGTGTGAATTGTATTATTTAGGGATGAACCCAATATCCCCTGTGTGATGCAACACATATCATTTCATCGTACATGAACAGACGTAGCAAAATATATAGTATAAATTATATGAAAAAATCAAACTTATTTCTCGTTTTAACTTACAGAGCAGAGGATGGAGGCCAGTGCGATATCCGGTTTAATTATCCATTTGTTGGAGTCAGGTTCAGATAAAAATCCTACAATACCAGCTAGGATGCTAACAGTCAAGTTGTAGAAGAAAACTACTGTCACTTCTGCTGGATACACCTTCATAATCCATGTCTGTCATCAAAAAAAAAAAAAAAAAAAATCTCTATTCAGGGACTAAGTCTGTGTTGGAAAAAACTTGCCCGCACATTTAATCACGAGTCACAAAATAAAGCGAGAATATACATATGAAAGAAAATTGTATATAAGACACGTATTTTGCATTAATTTGCTTGTTGTAAACATTGAGTACAAGTAAAATAAAAATTCATACCTGAACTATATACCACATTGGGACTAAAAAATATTCAGTTGTGAGGAAAAGGCCACCAAGCATCCAATTCGATTGAGATGAGCCGAGAGGTTGACGTAGTAAATTGGGTGTAGACGTGGTAGGCACTAATATTTTTGGGCCTTTGTATAGAGTTACTACGAATGCTCCAGCTATGGACACCACCGTGCCCAACACTTTGGCTCGAGTGGTTGATCTTTTCAACTGTATCTTCTCCATCCTGTTTAACAGTTCCACTCATCAAATTTCTTCTTCTAAAACATAAAAAACAGAGAGCCATTTTTGAACTTGACACCACAGGTCTAATTATGAAAAGCGGCCAACATCTAAATACAATCCACACGTGTGTTTATTTTTGTAAATCAGCGTAAAATGAATTAGTTATACCGTAGGCCTATTCTGAGGTCATTCTTTAAACTTAGTCCCCGTTAGTCGAATTGAGTGAACTTTGCCCTTTAAAGTAGAGTTGGATGTATTTTTCTTTTACAGACAAGTTTAATCCAGGGAGCTAACATCGATATAATTATAATAGTGGCCTCGAAGGGTCATTTATGCAAATGGTGCAATATTTTTTCCAACCTTTGGCCTACAACTTTTTGTTTTTAAACAATGGATCAAATGGCCTACATACTACAACTTAGATATCAGTAATCTTAGTCGAGTTTATCCTTTGTTTCGGTTGGGAAAAAATGATGGATGCTGACAAAAGATGTCAACAACTTGACACAAATTGGAGATTAAAAAAAACAATCTAGTTTGATTATAGTGGGGACAACAAAATTAAGAAAATGACCTGAAATTAGGACATGAGATTATTAAAGAGAACCTGAAAATGACAGCCAAGACGAAAGTAAAAGCAGGGACGAGATTGCTGATGGCGGAGGCAAGCGTAGGAGAGGCATAGATAATGCCTGTATACCCCATTATCTGTGATGTACACCTGCACTTCCAATTATGCACTATAATATACATTATGAAAAAGCAAGAAAACATGATTATATTTTGTTCTTAGACTATTTTGTTGAAATTTACTAGAATGAAACACCAATGAATGATCATCAAAGCGTATAGTCTAAAATGTTACTGGTGTGAGTTTGGACTTCCACTTTACCCCCAATAATTTGCACCGTATGGCCTTTTTTTTAAGGTTAATCTTTATATTCTGTCACTCTTGTTGCAGTAGCTAAATTTCGCCTTTAAAATCAAGTGGATGCATTTTCCTTTTCATGGACAAATTTATGTAGTGCCCTCAAAAGAAGTCATTCGCGCAAATGCCCAGTCCCATCTATGTTAGTATAAATGAAAAAAAAAAAAAGTTGAAAAAATAAAATGTAAAGAATAGGGAAAGGGACAAAACGTTACAAGAATTCTTATTGACCTTGTGCCTAGTAAATTTTCACATCTGAAACAGAATTACTATTGAAGTATCAATCAACTTGTACTTTAATCTCACATTATTGAGGTTTGACTTTTTTATCTGTCTTTATTGGTTCAGCACTAACTTTAACAATTGAATTCTGACAAATTAGACACTCCAAAAGTCAACTCAAAGGAACAAGGATGGCTAAGAGACCCATGGTCCGGTCAAATGGATCTGACTTTGATACTATGTTAAACTAGTTCAAAGGAAAGAAAATTGTTCAAATCTTACAAAGAGATCGTATTCTCAGGTGGATCATTTTCATCAACAAATTCAATTGATTTGCTCATTTTTAAGACTAACAACATCCAATAATCCTAATTTTCTCGAAAATAACCAAACTTTTTTTTGGGGTTTTACATATTGACAGATTGAGAGTGAAAAAAAACAAGAAAAAGAGTCAAATTGGTACCCGATAACTCCAAGAAGAAAGATTTTGGCGAGAATTGAGCAATTGAGAGGTGGAAGTATTCTTGATCTGCAGTTAGATGATTCCAATTTTTCAAACCCCCATCAGATTCTTGATCAAATTTTACAAACATGCAATAGAAAAAAAAACAGAGCATGTACCTGGCAGAGAAGAAAGGAGAAGGAAGAAGTAGAAGAGCAGCAAGACCATAACTATAAACAACAAAGACATGATTACTCATGCCTTTGTTAGTAGCAGCTTTGTAAAGTGTATTTAATCCAACATTTATACATTCCATAGTCACCATAGCTGTAAATGGTAGCACTTCTTTATAAAAAGTTGTCTCTCCGTTATTGCTTCCCATTTTTGCTTCAAAAACTTCCAACTTTTGTGTTTCCCAAATATCAATTTCTACGCGTGGCGGACATGAGCTCTACCTGAAAAATCTGATATTTAATCATACCAGTGTGTGTTTAATAAAACTATATATTATGGACCAGAATTAAAGCAACTGTTTTTTTAGCTAAGCGTATATTGGAATTAAAGCAACTGTTTTTTAAGCTAAGTTTATATGGAAATTAAAGTTGAAATCTTTACACTTTTTTTTATTCCTAAGGTCCCATATTGGAGATGACATTTTCTGTTTTTTATTATCTTAGAGTAGAGGTTGTGCAAATTTGGTTAATTCCTAACCATCTATTCAAAAAAGTATGTTATTTCATTTTCTAATCAGACAGCACTTTCAACTTGCAAAAGTTCTTTTCGAATCAAACCTTCTTCTTTGTACAATTTGTAATTAGACCAAGACTAAACATTTAAACCTTTTGTTTATGACTAAATGTGGTAAACTATTTATTATTGGTCTGAGGAAGTCATGATTTATATATGTTAGTTGATGATATGGGGAAATGCGGAATAAGAATTGATTCATTATATGCATGTTGTTAATTTTATCTACCTATTATCGGAGATTAGAGTCCAAAATTCTTATTGATACCTAGTTACATGGAAAGTCTTGAGATATTATATCCTCGATTCTCCTTCTTTTTCTTCCATGTCAATATTATTTTAATGATGTGTAAGTCTTGACAAGACCACAACCTACAAATTATGATGAATTTATCTTACTTATTTATGTAAAAATCTACTGGTATTTGGTTGAAATTTAATAATTGATGACATATCATTTTGCCGAAAGGGAATTAGTTAGTGCATATAATTGTGATGTAATTAAAGATGAAAAAAAAATTTAGATGAATGGGCACGCTAAGTAGTTGTTGTCCTCATGAGAGATGAGAGTTGCTTGTGGGAGTGATAAAAGGATGCGTGACTATTATATTGTGCTTTTGTGTGATAAAGGGGCAATCTACATAATTGGTTTCCTTTCAAATAAACGACAAAAGAGCAAGTGAAGTTTGGAGTAATATTGGGCTCGATTAAATGTAGATTTGTGTCGATAAATTTTATATGAGACTAAAACACTTTTTAATAATATTAATTTCATATGCAGTCAAACTTAAACACGAAACATTTAATTAAACAGAAATAAGTACTTATTACTCAACTCTACCCTACCTTATCGGATATAATTGGCACCCATTCAACTAAAAAAGACAAGTGAAGTGTGGAGTGGAACGTGAATGGTGACACTAATTGATTGTTGACATTTTGACAATTTATGCACTTCCCTTCAATTATTGATACTTTCAGCACTACAATAATGCTTTAAAAAAAACAAACAGTGGGAGTGCCTGACAAATTGTGAAATTGACCTGCTTCTTTTATCAAAGAAAAAAGTTGTAAGGAATTAAAAGAGCTAGATTAAAATCTGAAACAATACTAATTAAGTGGCACCGATATTCATAGACATCTTTAATCTTAGGTTCAAGTTAAGATTATGCTATGAAATTTATTTAACTATAAGGTTAATTCGTTGGAAGAGTTCTCATTCAACGTGACCTAACACGAATAATTAACCTCGCTCCTTGATCAACGGGGACATGTCTAGGCTCAATTTTTTTAAATACAAATATGTAAATTTGTTTATGTGTGGTATGAAATTCAAACCTAAGTTCTACCTGCTTTAACATGAAGTATGTGTCATGTACGTCTCCTATATAGTATCTAAATTGGCAGAGATTAAATGTGTGTTTTCGATCTACAACAATATTCTCAACCTCATTATCAATTATGATTGTTAGGTAGAATATATTGAAAATATAATTAAATAATAAAATTCTACTCTCTCTCTAACCGTTTAAGCTTTTAAATGCGATTGTCACATACTTTAACATGATATCAATCATCTACTTCAACAAAATACACCATAGTCCATAAAGAATATCTCCAATTCTCCACCCCTATAAAAGGATTACTTCTTGCACTCGTAATCATAAGTGAAAGCTGAATGTACATTTCACTTTACATCCTCCTCCATTGACCACTTTTCTCTTCTCTTTTGAAAATAAAAAACTATTTTCATGAATAACCCATCTTTTTCTTTATTTCTAACCTAACATAAGTATCTCAAGCAAATTATCCTGACAACTAAATGGGAACAGAGGGACTGAGGGAGTATAACTAACCAACTTCTCAAGGGCGTTAAGCAAAACGCATGAAATGCGAGGTTACTAACAGAAGAAGCATAACCCACTTTTCATGCTATAGTTTACTAGTAACATTACTTAATCTTATGCTTTTCTTACTATAATTTACTTGTGCAATAGAGGGCATGTTTGATTTGTTGAGTCAATTACACAAACAATGTCGTCAACCTCAAGCACGGACTTGATCTCCTTAGCCTTCCCCCATAGAACAGAATAAAATCCAACAGATATAATAACTGCTCCAATAACACTGCACACAACATTCAAACAAATAATTCACTTCATGAATGTTGTTCTTTTTCCGATAAGTGAGAAAATGCTAAAACTGAGAATATATAGAAATGAACAAATGAAAATGCTGGCTATGGGATCTTCAAATTAAAATCAGAAGGAATATGTTATGACATGTTTTTTTTTTTTTTTTTTGAATATGTTATGACATGTTTAAAATCACACGATTCAATAATCTTTTTTTTTCTTGTCAAACATAAAATCCAGTCAAATAAATTCACATAAATTCAAATGAAGGGTGTAATACAGGGGAAAAGAGCAGACTAGGGGTTAAAGGTTAATTCTTAGGAACAAGCACTTAATATATGCATTAATCTACTTTTGAACAACAAAGCTAGTCGATTAAAGATGTATAAGCACAGGCAAAAGGATGGCGTAGTCTATATATTACCTTCCTAAATGGAGTGGATCTGCAAGGAATAGGATCCCCAGGATTGCTGATATGACCATTCCCAAGGGCTTGAACATGGCAACATAAAGAGGACCTTTCTTATCCAAGCACCATGTCAAAACGTTGTAACGAAAGACATTTCCAGAAACCGCCTAGAGTTTAAGATATATAACCGATAAGTCACATACATAATATATCTATATATATAAAAAAGAACAAGGAGAAGAAGAGAACAGAAAATGAAAAATGCATTAAATTTCTTACTGAGAAAACAATGGCTATCATCCCAATCCCAGGCTTCACCATCCATGTCTTTGGATTACTTTCTAATGCCAGAGTTAAAATTGCACATTGAATACTCCCAAAGAAGCAAGTGAAAAATACTATTGTCATGTGTTCGGGGTATTTCTTCACGGTATCTGTCTGAGTATATACGAACAGAATTGAGCATGTGACTGATGTGTTAATTGTGAGATATAAACTTATTTATACCTATGAAACAATATAGCAGCCACAGTTTAGTGTCTAAAATAATTGAGACGGTGCGCAAGTAAAGAAGTGAAATTTTATCAAGTATAAAATGAATCGAGCCCACCAAAAGGTTGCTCGAGAGAAAATGTTTTGTTATGAACTGAAAACAGATTGAACCATCTTCTACTATGACATGTTTTAAACGAAGCATCATTAACTAAAATAAGTCCTACATGCATGAAATGCACTGCTAACTCTGGGAGATTGTTAAGCTGATTTTTAACTTCAAATAATTCATTTTCTCAATCTTGAATCGCTTTCTAATATGTTTACCTGAAGAATGTTCCATCCAGAAGACATGATGCAGGTGGTGGTAATCAGCAGACCTCCCAGTATCCAGTTTGATTCTTGTGAAAGTACTAACGCGTGATGAGATGAATCAGAAGGTAAATTTGATCCTAGTACTCTCGGTCCTTTGTATAGTGTCATGATGGATGCCCCTATAATTGCCACTATGGTGCCCACAGATTTCGCTTGACTGCTGACCTTTCTTATATCTAACTTCTCCATCCTGAAAATTGCAAAAGATATGAAGGAACGAACGACTGAAACTAATGATCTAACATAGTTCCACTTCTACTTGTAGAAGAAAATAGTGCTAGTGTCAATACCACAAAAAAGAGAACACGGATCAGTAAATTCTTTAATTGTCCTCCGTCCCACAATTGTGAACAAATATATTAAGTTTCAACAAAATATTCAAGCAATGGCAGACCTACATGTACACTATTGTATGGTCAAGCACCCATTGTTCTTTACACAATCACTACATTTTTAATAGGAAGCTAGCATTAACACCAGAATAGATTCACCGAGCACCTTTCTGTGATTAGTAGAACTGTAGATTAAGAGCAAATGGGCATCAAATTCTGGGTCCGCCACTTTATTTCTATAGCATTAACAATCATTAATTAGTAAACCAAATGATAATGGTAAACTATGTTGCTACAAACAGTGTGTATAAATCGAACAAGAAATTAGGAGTTGGCTAAGCCTTACCTGAAAATGATGGCAAGCAAAAATGTAAAGCCTGGCATCAAATTCCCTAAAGCAGCTGCCAGTGTAGGAGTGCTGTACTTAATACCTGTAAAGGCCACGGCTTGCACCAAACAAATTCTGCAATACAGTTTACAAGTTAAAGTTTCCCCAAATTTGATAACAATAAAAGAGAGAAGAAATTAGTAGAATACCCCAACAGGCCAAGAAGGAAGAATCTCCACAATATAGGCAAAGTAATAGGAACCATATTGCTTCTGAAAAAAAAGACTAAAGACTTTAAATTTGACTAATCTCAAGAAATAGGTAAAGGGAATTGATGGTTTTTGACAAACCTGAGCCTATGGAAGATTAAGCAAGGAAGAAGAAAAAGGGTACCAAGGGCATTATAGTAAACAACATAAACAAGATTGTTCAATCCATCATTCATGGCTGCTTTACCAAGTGTAATCATCAACATTTCACAACATTCCACCATCACCATTGCCAAAAAGGGTAAGAAATCAGTTGACCAAACCATTTTTCTTCTTTACACTCCCAGACCTAGACCTAGTCAAGAATCCTTTTTGTTCAGATGAAAGACAACAACTTTTTCATTGCCGAATGACTCATGACCCAGGATTCCGTACTAAATTTCACAATGTTGTTTTTTTGGTTTCATTAATCAAGTTGGACCCTTGTTGTTTGTCAATAGTATTATCGTGCTTTGCCAAAAAGCAGAGTAGGGTAGAGTTGTCAACTTGAATATTGGTTGGTCCTATTTATTTTGAATTTGAAATTTAAAAATAATTTGGTATGTATTGGAAAAAATGGAAACTTTATACTAATGAAAGTTCAAGTTAGTTCATGACAACTTGAAAATGTCCAACATATATTTAAAAGATAAATTTCGAAATCTACTCTCAAAACTTGTAATCGATACTCATGAATCAAATTTCTCTGTCAATTTTTTTTTTTTTGAAACAGGATTTTGTATGCAATAGATTATGTCAAACACGAAATCCTGCTCCCCACCTACTTCTGACTTCTATATAGAAAAATAGAGCCCACAAGTAATAGCTACTCAGAGACCCAAAGGCCCAACTTGTGAACTCTTATTTCCCAACTCAAAATGCCTAAACTCAGTAACCCTGGAAGAGAAAGGATTACAGATTCCACTTTTCAGGAAATTTTTGACACAAGGATAAAATTCTGTGTATAATTTATCTTCTTCAGATTTTGCTTATAGAATGTTATTAAATAATAAATAAAATGAGACAAATGTCTATTATATCAGCAACTTATTGTGTGAAAGTCATAATCATGAAGAAAAATAAAAACAATTTCGGCCATTTGTTTGAATAATTCAACAAGAAGATAAGCACATCGTGTGGTGCAATTTAGGGATTTATAATGTATTTTTTCTTATCTAATCCCTTTTTCAGCGACTAACACTTGTTTTAAATAAAAATTCTTCATTTGATTATAATTGCCTTCTTAATAAAGACAAAATAATCTGGTGTAAGTAAGAGGTTTGGTTTAAACCATATACTACTGTAAAAAAGAAACTTTTAGTGGCAATAATTTTTTCATATTTAATGTCATTACTGCTACGTATAATATATCAATAAATTTTTTGTTGCTAAATAATTATCGCGATATTCTTTATTTATTGTGGTGTATCCTTAATAGTGATATGTAATATGTAGATATATTTTTATCTTTTCGTTTTGGCTTAATAAGTCATAATATATGCTATAAATTAACACTCGACTCTTTTGAGAACTGTCACAAATAAATTTAAAATTCTTCAAAAAGGAATATCTTTATATCTAACAATTATTTATGCATTTAGATTTTTTTTTCTCAGATCCTATGCAGTATAAACGGAATCTAAACCTCGAAAACTTGCAAAAAGTACGTTACATTTGCTTAGACTTCAAGAAAGTTACCCATTTTATTTATTTGTTTGAACGGTAGACATTAATATAAAGTTTTGGGTTCCACTTCGTGAGTATGGAGTTATCTTTGTCGAAAAGCGTTTTATTTCTAATTTATGACTTTTTTGGCATGAATTTAAATTTAATCAGGTTTCAACATAGATATCGAACACGTGAGTGGGGAAAAAATATAAAAAAAATTGTGTGCTCAAAATAAGGCCTATCAAAATTTGAAAGTGGTCCAGTTGGCAATTGATAAAGAATATATTGTTTATTACCCAAAAATATTTTTAAAAAATGAGTAAGAATATCATCAACATGCCTATATCAAAGGAATTAATAGTAGTAATTTGAATAATAGATTTGAAACCTGAAGAGCAATCCATTAGATTGATACATCCAAATCATACTATTTCCATTTCAGTTTTTCATCATTAATGTTCTCCAATTAAATTTTATTTATTTCCTATTAAATTTTATTTGATTTTCCTTTTTTAGCTTTTTCTCTTTTATCTTTTTTCTCCTTTTAACTTTTTTTTTCCTTTATCTTTTAATTTTTTTTATAGGGAACTAAAAGGTGCAACAGTAGTGAGTATTTCTTTTTATCATTTTTTACTGTTTATTTTGGAGAATAGTGAAACTTGTCAGTTGACAGCTTTTGGCTTCCAAATAAGTCAATGTCCTTTCCCAGTTCAAAATCACCCCTCTAACTTCTCTGTTTTATATTTTACACTCTTTTTTTTTTTTTTTTGGCTCTGTTACTAAAAACTAGAAATTGTTTAAACATAGAGAGAGAAAAATAGGCTCAAAAATATTCAAACTTCTCTTTTTTTCTATTTACGTTGTATAAGGGATTTCAAGATCCTATAAATGTCTTAGGGTTTTGCTGCAGCCAGAAGTGATTCTTTATATAAAGGGATTGCTATAAGTATTGTTTTTCTGTGTAATGGTGACTAAGTGGGAATCAAGACAGGTAAAGATTCTGTCTTTAGCATTTTCTGTTTGGTTTCATCACTATCTCTTGTTATTTGCTCTGTCAGTAAATTGTGTTTTCTTTTGAAAAAAACAAAAGACTCCAACTTTTCTTGAATCTGAAGGTATAGTGATTCTGGATGTTTGAATTTTTTTTTAGCTTCTGAGATGGTGAAAGGGAGATAAAAAAGTTGGGGGTTTTTTAATGTGTTTTTGAGATGATTTGTTCATTTGGTGAAGTTGAGTCACAAAGATGGGTTTCTAGGAATACCCATTTGAAAAGTTCTTGGATTCAACATAGAAAAGATGGTGTCTTTACATATCCTCCTCCTCTGTTTCCCCCATCTCCTCCTTCATTTGGTGGAAGTTCTAGTTTTCATAAGGAACCAAACTCATCTTCTTCATCCCCATCTGGAAACAAGATTAGTCCAGCTGTTCTTTTCATTATAGTTATATTAGCTGTCCTGTTTTTCATATCTGGTCTGCTCCATTTGCTAGTTAGGTTTCTTATCAAACACCCTTCTTCTTCAGCATCATCTCAGTCTAATGGATATCCTGAAGTTTCTAGTTCAGATGCTTTGCAAAGACAGTTACAACAGTTATTCCATTTACATGATTCTGGTTTGGATCAAGCATTTATTGATGCATTGCCTGTCTTTTTGTACAAAGAGGTTGTTGGTCCTAAAGAGCCCTTTGATTGTGCTGTTTGCTTGTGTGAATTCTCTGATAAGGACAAATTGAGATTGCTCCCTACTTGTAGCCATGCTTTCCATATCAACTGCATTGATACTTGGCTCCTCTCGAACTCAACGTGCCCTCTTTGTCGAGCAACTCTTTTCAATCCCGGGTTTCCCATTGAAAATCCAATTTTCGATTACGTTGAGCCAAGAGATGATGATGGTTATCATGGTAATGGGGATCATGAGTACCCCACTTCTCAAAAGACTATGGAACTAGAGGAAGTTGCGGTTGCTAAAGCAACATTTCCCGTGAGACTTGGTAAGTTTCGAAGATTGAATGATGGGGGAGAGGGAGAGGAAGTAGAAGGAGTAGGAGAGAGCAGTAGTAGTAATTTGGACGCAAGAAGGTGCTTTTCAATGGGTTCATATCAGTATGTGGTTGGTGATGCTAATCTTAAGGTAGCCTTGGACAATGAGCAAAAGACGAATAATATGAATCAAGCCAATTTGGCAGAGCACAGTCCTAATCCGTCAATTGATGAAGAGAATGAGGGGAAAAAGATAGGTATCGGCACAAAAACAGATAGTTATTCTGTTTCCAAAATATGGCTTTGGTCGAAAAGAGGCAAATTTGCAAGTTCTTCAGATTGCCAAATGGAAGATCAGCCTCCTTCTGGTATGGACTTACCATGGCTTAGAAGAACAGAAGGCATGTAGTGAATTCTGATCTCTTATTCTCTTTGTTTTATCCTTTTTTGTTAAATGATAACACAGAGGTGAGTTTGCCTTTTGGCTAGTATTCTTTTAGATGCTAATTCAACAAAGCATGCCATACTTGATAAATGATAATCAGCTTGATTCAAAAGTTTGTTCCACAACTACTATTTACTATTATTCTTATGTTTCTTAAGTTCTGTAAATGTATAGTCATCTCTTCATTCAATTGGTTCATGAATTCTTTAATGATTAACATATGAAGCCTAATGATCAGAGTGTAGGGGTAACATTTTTTTTCATTTGTCATGAGCTGTGTTAGTAACCACCTGTAACATGCCCAAAATTTGCAACTTAGTCCTTAAGCAGTTTCAAACTGAGTTGTTATGTGTTACTTGAGATGAGGGTCTTTCGGAAACAACCTCCCTATATCCACGAGGTAGGATAAGGTCTGCATTCACTCTACCCTCCCTAAACCCCACCTGTGGAAATACACTAGGTATGTTGATTCTTGAAAAAGGTGGATACTGTATTTTCCTTAGTCACAAGTGTGGATTCATTTTTTTGATAACGGAGAAATTTCCAATTGCTAGTAGGCTCAACATTGACACTGGATAGATAATGGACCTGTCTACCCTCATCCACTTAAATTCCAGGTTTTCGTGTGTGGCAGTACTCAAACTTGTGACATGTGCTCAACTCAAATATCTCTCACGGGTTGTTCTTTTACCCTTGAACCAAACCAATTCCCTTTGGTTCTCAAAGCATCCTATTAATTTGGCTTACGTGGTCTTATTGACCTATCTTTTGCCTTAAACCACACACATAAGCAAACTTCACTCTTTCTTTTGTTCTTTTATCTTTTCTGTTGTGATGGAGGAGGGGTGTTTGTGTGGAAGGGCGATGTTTGAACACATGTTTTTGGTGTAGTGGTGGGATCCATGAAAGCAGTGGCTTTGTTGGAGACCATATTAAGTGGCATCAGTTATGTGTCATTTGTCTTCAAATATGACCCTGTTTGTAATTAAAGCCTTGTTGATTCTCCAAGAAAGAGTGCTGGCAAAATCATTAAGTTACAAGTAGAGATTAGATATCATAACCCCCTACTAATTATTAGTTAATTGACAATAATAATAATGTAGCCTCACATGTTGCACTGAGGCTTAAACTTTAATAATTAGCTGAGAATGTACTTCTCTTTTAATACAGTAACACTGTTAAATTTCCTTAGTTTTTCAAGTTTGACTTCCTTTGCCTAGCTACATTACAACTTTCCTAGTTCTAGCAATGATCCATCCTTTCAACTTTAACAAGATGTGTGGGGTTCGAGCTTTAGAAAGGAAAAACTCTTAGATGGACCAACGCTGCGTGAATCTAAATTAGTTAGGCCTACATGATTGTACTGAAAAAGTTTTTCTAAGATGAGAGAGAAAAGTTCCCTTTTGTACCTCAAATTTTCCCTCTATATTTTCCTTCTTTGTACTTTTCCTTTTTCTTCTTTCCGTCCCTAGATGTAGGGTAAAAGGTTGCACAAATTATTTTTTGCAACAGCTTCTAAATTGTTCCACATTCTATAGTGGGATCATTCAGGCAAATAGTTGGATTGTCCTACAAAGTTTTCCTTTTCTCTCTCCTTCTTCTTTATATCCGAGGCTCCGGCTCTACTATACTTGGCAATTTGAACTTGTAACATGCTCCTAAGTCCTAACCAACAACATATCGCGTGTTGTATATGTACCGTTGGACCAAAGTCATTTGACCTATTGCAGTGTAGCAAATAATTTGGAGTAAATGACATCTTTCACTGGAGGGAGAAAATAGTGTGGAATCACGAGTGCAGATTATAGTCCTTCTCAAAGACTATAACTTGAAAATCTGTACCACATGACAACCCACACATTGGTAAAGTGGACCAGAAGAGTTTTAGATTTATTCAACTACAGGGTGGGGTCGGGTGTTAGCTTATTTGGACTTGCACATTGTATTTTTCTTTGGTTTAGGCAATGAATTGTCAATATTCTGTAGTGACTGGAAAATGACTTAGTTATGTGGTCCACACATATTAGTACTAATAATAGCTGAAACTTCACCTTTCAATCATGCTCAAATTGGTCCATTATTGGTTATTCATCATACTTTTTTTTGTCTCTTCTTCTGCTTCATTTCATCATTATGAATTTCAATTGTTTAACTTATTATTATTAGATTAAGTAACTTTGTCTTCTCAGATAACCCCAAGGAAGCTGCAACTACCACCCACCATATATGATCAAATAATAATAATGCTAGTTATTATGGTGAATCAATTGGGCCAACAAATATAGCGAACCTGAAATTTAACGAATTACTATATAGTATATTTGATGCCTACCATAGGTGATAAAAATGATTATAAAGTTGGTAGCAATTAGCAAATCTTGGTGGGGGGTTGAGCACTCTGTGTAACATAGAAGGACCCAACTAAATTAGTGATAGTCAAAAGGCTACTGGATTCCAACCCTTTTTCACGATGATTACACCAAGGAGATGATTCATTCAGAACTCAATTAAATTCTTTTTTACAGTTAATATCTTTTTATAGTCCAGATTAAGTTAACATTCTCTTCTTAATCAATGCCATAAATATTAGTACTTTCTTTCAATAGTAAATAACCTTCTATATAGAAGGTTATTGTTAATTACTTACTCTGAATCACTTTAATTTTATGAATCATCCCATTTACAAGTTCAATGATAATCTGATGGAACAAATCATCAAAATAAACTAGAAAAATCCTGTGATCTATCAAACTGTACACAAACAAACAAAAGTTGGTAGTGACATTTTTAAAGAATTGAATTGAATAATACTCCCTTACAGCAATTAACTAATCAAACATATAAAACAAATACTCAACTAGAAAAAATAAAAATAAAGAGTACTCAAATCTTTTTTTATTTCCCAACTAAATTTTATGTCAGAGAGAATCAAAACCACCTGTATCATCACCGTCACAAGCGTTGCAAATAACAGAGCCCAATCAATTTCTCCGCCGCAATTCTCGGCCCATCGCCGTCGCTTGTCCGATTCCACATCATGGCATTCTTTTTTCGTAATTCGCCGCTGAGGAATTCACAATTTGGATGGTGGGTCTTTGCCCAAATCCATTGAAGACTTAGCAGAAACCTGAATTGAAGCGAATCTCGACGAGAAATCACGGAATAAACGATCATCTTCCGACTGATCGTTTACCCCTGGTCCATCGTCGAAATTCAAGGAGTAACTCAACGGGTCGTAATTGAATTTATTTGTTTTGGAACGATTTTTATTGAATCGTCGAATGAATGTCTTCCATTTTGGACCTGCCACAAGTTCCGACCACTCCCTGACTTTCATAACGGCGATCAAACCCTTATCCCACCAATGGGGTTCTTCCTTTTGATCGCTGGTAGACACCCGTTCCCATACGCTTCTGCCACATGTGAAAGATGGAAACCAGAAACAACAACAACCCCTTTTCGTGAATTCAAGCTCCTGCAATTCTTCATTCACGTCTGAGTCTTTTGGGGATAATTCCGGGTTTGTTTGACCCGCCATGTTTCAAGAAATTAACAACAACAAGAAGAAGAAAATATCACACAAACCGCAACCCCTTTAAATTAGGGATTTTGTTGTTTGCACATAAATGTGGAATTTTATAGAAACCCTAAAGCATTGGACTCTGGATTTCTCTCTGTGCAATAGTTGCGAATGTTTATAACGGAAATATAGCAAGAGATAAAGGGAAAACCGGTGACAAATTATTAGTGGGGGTGCAAACAACTGTTATAGGAACACAGCTGGAGCCAACTAATTTTCGGCTTAGTTATGATTGTACTCGTGGCAATTTTTTATTGGAAGAATATCTATTCAACTGGGGGCCTGCGGCGCCTCTCCTAGTTAATCTCATTTTGTCTTAGTAATTAACGGATTGTTTTTGTTGAAAGTCACCTATTATTCCCGGTAATTCTTACAAGGGTATTAAAGTCTTCAACGGTCGAAAATCGAAGCAACGGATTTTATTTTTTTGTCAATCTTCTTTTTTCTGATTGGTATATTGGTATTCACTTTCACATTTACTTCATGTATTAAGTCACCATATTTGAGTTTCACATACTTTGTTTTCGTTTTGGTTAACCTCAATCAGATATCATGATATTCAAACGTTCGTTATATTATTATCTTTATTACATGTCTCATCGATTAATACTATAGCATTCGTGAATAATATACACTACAATATCTCTCCTACTATATGCCGTACTATCAATTTTTTCAATTCCTCTATTACTAAAACAAATAAAAACAAGCCAAGGATCAATTTATAGTGCAACACCATCATGATCCAAAAGTTAATTATTTGGTGATATGAGTAATTTTTTATTTGTTGACAATAATAGAAGTTATTAATAATGAAACTTCGTTACTATATTATATAGAATCTTGTCCCATATTAGATGGACAATTTTTATATTGCATGATAATTAAGAAATCATTAATAGATTGAGCAACTTTATTATTTTTTTCCTTTGTTTATATTAATTATCCTATTGAAAAAATAAATTCTTTTGTCTTCAAAATTTGTTTAAACTTCCTAAGGTCATATGGTTGCAGGGGTAAAATGGGAAAAAAATAATTTTATTCTGATAAAGTAAGTGATTAAGTAATATAAGACAAATAATTTTAATAAAAAGCCCATCAAATATGAAATGGAGGGAATAGCTCAGAAGTGAAGGATTCACTTTTTTTTTCAAGCTATCAGTAATTTATTTTATCATCTTTGACTTCATAAAATTTTGAAAATGTTTCATGATTGGTTAAACTAAAAGAGAAGAAATTTAGTTCAAGGTCCAAGATATGTTGAGGATATAGAGTTTTAATTGTGATTATGGTTTTAATAAGAGAATGATATTTTCAAAGATTTCATTTATTTATTTTTTGCAATCTCTGATCATAAAAGGGGTCATATTAATAAAGAACATGTGTATGATGAGACACAAAATTGATCTGCCATGCGTTTAATAAATGTGAAATTAAGTGCTTATATATATGTTTTGTACTTTAATTTGTTGGTCTCAAACTATTTATCATGTTATATTTTTCGAGAGTTAAATAATAAAAAATTTAAAATATATTTTCTTTCGATATGGATAGGAGAAAAAATGATAGCTTTTTAATAATTTTTTTAAATAGTTTCATTTTAATTTTAAAATATTAAAGTAATTAAATTTAATTTAATTCTGAAAATCAATTAATATTAATTTTCGAAAAATAAAATGTGATCCAAAATACTTTTGTATGGAGAGATGGAGTAGTGATTAAATTTGCAAACATTATATAAAAGTTTTGAAGTTCGTTATTTCCACCTAATAATATTCTTGAAAGATGAACCTTTAAATTATATATAACTCTTGAGTTCTTTTATTTTCACCTAAAATTATTGTATTTATTATTCGTAGTAGCAGTAGCTTTTAGTCAACTTAGACCGAAAAAGAAGAAGAAAAAGGAGAATAATTTTGTCTTTATTTGATTTTAATATAATAAATAAAGTTATAATATTCCACCAAACTCTTTGTGTGCAAATATTAGTGTAGCTGGAGAAGCAATTGGTAAGGGAGTAGGACACAAGCAACCAAATGCCGAGCCTCTAAATAAAGGGAATATGGAATCTAGTGTATGGTGTATGAATTTATTTTTATTATATTAATATATATGCATTTGTTAGCACTTTAATTAGTTGAAGAAAAAAACTTAACACTTTGATTATAATAATTAGAGTGCTTGGTGGATGTTATATTCTAATTTCTCTCCAAAATAATTGCCACATATGTCATATATTATCAACTCCCCTTCAAATTTTTAATCAATCTTTTCTGTTCTTTATTTTACTTGAGAACATTCATGATTTGATTACCAGAGTGTATATTTGAAATATCTCATAATTAAGAATGTGAGTCACAAAAAGATTTGATATAATTGTGTGTTATACTATTGTGTGCTGTATGAAAAAAATCGACTAATTAATTCATAATTCATATAATCACAATTATGGAGGATTGGTGTCTTGGAAATTATGCAAAGAAATTTTCCTTGCATGTTCTACATTAATTAAGGTTGAATTTATAGCCTTAGATAAAGTGGATGGAGAAGTTAAATGACTCCGTCGATGACACTTCATTTTGGCCCAAATCGTTGATGTTATATGCATATATTGCCATGGTCAAACGATAATTAAAAAGGCAGAAAGTGTAATGTATAACAAAAAATCTCAGCATATACAATAAAGGTATAATATCGTTAGTAAACTACTTTTTACAGTGGAATTATCATAATTGACTATGTCAAGTCATCAAGAAATAATGTGTCGAATTCACTTACATAGACTATGATTAAGGACAAATTGTCATGATGGTAACTCTTTCTATATAATAGAAGATTGGAGATCCTAAAATCTAGGTTCAAAAAGATCAAACAAAGTCATTGATAACGATTCAACATAGTCAAAATAATTTTTTGATCCAAGGGTAAAGCGTTAAGGCCTTATAATGGTTTCTAAATTTGATAGGTATATATCAAATAGTGTCATCTCGCAATATGACACTTTTAGAAATCACCTACTAAAGTGTAAGTTATTTCAAGGAGAAATTTGTTGTGTCAATTATCTACGCATTTATGAACCAAACAATATTCATGGATGAAATAAACAAAATAGTGAAAATCAAAGGCAATATTCAAGCATATATTCATACTATCACTGACTATAAATTCAGAGGACCAACATCAATTTTCGTCATCAAATATCTGAACTTTTTCAACATTTTAATAAACAAATATTGGGACTTTGTGTGATTGGTATCACCATCTTTGCATTCTACTTCTGAAAGAAAATAATTTTCTTAATTAAGTAGAAGAGTAAATTCAGTCGCCTCATATACTTAATTTAAAGTTTCTATTTTTTGAGGGAAAATATGATTTACTTGGAGACTGAATTCGAATTGTTTTGACCAAATTCAAAGTTGAAAAAAGAGAGAAATATTTTGAGGTTCCCCTGTTGTTCGCTTTAGTTGTTGATTAGAATTTAGTAGTAGGTTAACGTTAAAAATGCAATTTGTATGGTAATGAGTCAAGTTTACGCCATCTTTTTCGACCATTTCCCCATCAAATTTATAAATACTACTCATTCTTCACAACTATTTTTTATTTCAACTTGTTTCACTAGATAATTAAGCCATTTTAATTTTACTATATTCCTCTCCATCTATCAAATCAAATGAGTATGAAAATGGGCACAACAAAATATTTAGCTATTTTCTTCACCTTCTTTTTGTTAGTCACTTACATCCAATGCCGTCCAATCACAAATCATTCTAATGAATCTATCAAGCATTCAAATTCTCATAACCAACGCATGAAAGTTCATCAACTTGGTGGCTCATCAGTTTCTCTAACTGAAGCCAAGAACTCGGGTCCGAGTCCTGGGGAAGGCCATAATGTGGTACACAATGAACACAATTGATATTATTATAATTGTTTAGTGTTTCACCTTCGTTGGTAGAGAGAATTATGTTTCTTTATATTATCTTGGACAATTTTAACCCTATATATAATTTAGCTTTTTTTAATTGAGTTTATGTCCAAAGTTGCAAGAGTAAATACACAGTTCGTAATTATTCATTACTGAATTTTCTATTTTTATTTTTCAAAATTTTTGTGACGACTACTCTAACCGGCTGCTAACTATATTCTACTTTTGAGTTCTATTTTTTTTTTGTAAACGGATCAATAATGTTAATTTGATTTGTCTTTATCATCTATATGTAATGTTTTCAAAATTACTCGCTAGACGTTGTTGTTTCAACTTTCCATCATATTGCCTATTGCTTGACGACCCATGGATTATGCTTGCAAGAATTAGAAATAGAGAAGGACCATATCACAAGGATCTATTTCCACAAGGATTGTAATTTTATATTTTTCCAAATAAAAAATAAAAAAATTTGCGTGCTAAATTATTGCATTACACAAAAATTTGCGTGCCATGGTATACTAATCAGTGACCACGATGCATGTGTCCTATTTCAGTTAGTTATCCACACTGATGTTACTTGAGAAAAAAAACATTACTACTGGTCAAGTTGATGACTCTTCTCTTAAAAGCTTGAGTGATTAAAAAGTCATTTTTTGTAACTTGTAGTACTAATTAAATAAGACCATTTGCGCTTCAATTTTTAGGTATTCAAGTGTCTAAGTTTTGACGATCAACAGTGTTACTTGATACATATATTAATGAAAAAAATAACAAGTACTAGATGAAATAGTCGAGATATGAACAAACTGTTGAGGGTCAGATCGATCCCCTTGCATCACATGTTGTTTAAATTCCACAAGTCATTTCAGTATACCTACTGAAATTATTTTCATGTGTTTGCTTGGGGACAAATTAAAGTTCCTTTGAAAACTCAAGTTAGGCATGTTTTTGGACAAGTATGCATGCTATGCCAAGAGAGATTTCTTTAAGTTTACTTTATATTTAGGTCATTATTGATTGTTTTTAAAGGGAATTGATCTCCACACTACTCAACGTCTATTCAAAAGCATTTTCTTCATGTTTTAGATCATCGAATATTTTATTATTGAACACTTGAATTTCTCTCTAAACAATATTTGTCAGGCTTATACC